CACATTTTGTCAAATTTCTCGAATACGGACCATTTCAGGAAATTTTGACATAAAGCAAAAATTATAGATAATAATATTAGAAGTAACTTTTATTTGAATAATGTTCTTCTCCAAACATAAATAACAGATATATTCAATAAAATATAAAAACGGCCTCCCATAAAGTACCCTCCCAGATGTTCCGACTTTGTCCAAAATCTAATTATTTCACGTCAGGCCGAAATAAAACTTAAGTTTAAAATTTAGTGTTTTTCTGTGTATCGGTTCATGAGTTATGGTGGATATAGACACACAGACACACACGGCAATTTTACCTTAAGCTCCCCCTAATAATTTGTTTTATTGTTAATTAAGTCTGTCAAAACTCAAGATTAAAAGTATCTTTACAATGTGTAACAAATTTATTTTTCTTAACTCAGATTATGTTAATGTTAATAATAATTATCTTTAAGTTTCACGTGTACTGTATTTTTATTCCTATATTTTTTTTGTATATTAGGTTTATCCTACTTCAATAAATATCTATCTATCTATCTTATATCTTTAAAATTGAATTGATCTAATAATCTATAACCTTTGATCTATCTGCAGAGGTACTTAACAATTCATTAGAGTAACAACTCTTTCTAAGTAAACACGCAAAATAATTATCCATTAAAAGTGATAAAAGCCATACCGACAAGTGACATCTAAAATGCTATCATAAATAAGAATCGACAACAATTGCATTAGGAAACAAACTATTAAAGAAAGGTAGACAGATACCTATATTGAATAAAGAATTTTCTTTTGTTGGTACCACGTATCCGGTGAAAGAATGTAAAATGGTAGTTGTAGAAATGTAATAAAATAGCTGTAACAAGAATGGGATTTATGACTGTTTAAGTTTAGCATAAGGGTGGGCGTTTCTAAAGGGAACGTTTAAATATTTCTACAGAGATCACACTGTCGGTGTTTTATTAATACAATAACCAATTTAAAAAAAGTTAATATAAGATATATCCTGTTTCTAATACAATAAATCAACGCGATTATATGTGGTTTAGATACCAAAAGTCAAAGTCATTTTTCGAGTACTTTAGAACAACTCCGTTTCTTAAGAAGTCTTTACAACCCCTAGGCACACTTCATGTAGGGTTTTCAATATTAGAATTAATGCCAAGAAGTATATTTTTCTTGAAAGGTTGGTTTAAAGTTAACCGCGTATATACGGCAGATTTATATGGGCAAACGCCAATCTTAAGGTCTTTGTAAATGAAAAACCAATTTATTTTCAAGATAGCCAAGATTTATTGATGAACATGCAGAAGGTTTGATCAAATTTCAGAGGCCAAAGCAACTACAACACCAATTTTCTCTTCATCCATGATTAGTACACGAAACAAATATTTATTTTTTTTTTCCTTACAAATTCAAAACCGAATCCTAACTACAATACATTTTTTTTTTTTTTTTTGAGAATTGGCATCTAAACGTAGTTTTTGTTGCCACAGACTTTTGTAAACCGAATAATTTTTTGTTTATTTATTTATATTTTAATATTTTCTTTAATTAAAAATTCAATAATTAAGTTATATATTTTCTCATTAAATGAACTTAATAAAATAGAAATACTTGATGGAAAAAGGATATTCAGGGAAGAAAGTTTTTTAAGAAAATCTGAACGATGAGAATTATGGTGGCTACAAGAAAAAATGAGATGGTTGATATCAGCAAAAGAAGAATTATCGCATTGACAGAAAGGTGATATATTAATACCAATTCTGGAAAGGTGAGACGGAAAACCCCCATGATTTAGTTTCATCCTTGTTAAAGTGGTACAATAATACCTAGACATTTTAAAATTTGTAATGTGGGGAATAGATTTTGGAAAAACAGGGTGAATAAATGTATATGGATTATTTGAATGAGAAACAAAGTGTTACCAAAGTTTCTCAGCTTGATCTAATATTTCGTTTCATTGCATGAATAATATCTTGCGGAGAATTAATATTACTAATAGTTGGAAGAAGAATGGCTTCTTTAGCAGCTAAATCGACTTTTTCATTTCCAACTATCCCTTTATGACTTTTAACCCAGATAAAAACGATCTTGATTTTAGAATTATGAAGAGTAAGGAGAGACTGAATAATTTCTCTTATAATAGGATTTTTGTTAATATTACAGGAATAATTAGAAATTGAAAGTAAAACAGATTTCGAGTCTGAAAGAATAACGATTTGTTTTCTCCATAGCTTTTTATCCAATTGAGTGCTTGTAAAATTTGCAAAAGCCTCCGCTGTATAAACATATGAATAATTTGGTAAATGAAATTGGGAAATAAAGTTTTCATTTTCCACATAAAAAGCGCATCCTGTACCTTGTTTTCCTTTAGACCCATCGCAAAAAATAGTATTAACTGTATTTAGCGTTCCCAATACCGATTTTATGATTATGTTATTAATTTTAGGGGAAGAAGTAAACTCAAGGAATAAGATTGTTGGCTTAAACAATAAGGAGAAAAAATTAAACTGGTATATAGGAAGAATATCGTAAGACTCAATTTTATTTAAAAACTGGTTTAAAGATACACAGGCTTCAGCCAAAGGTGGACTATTTTTAAATTTCCAATATTTGTTGGTTAAGTTTTCAATATTCAGGATAAAGGAAGAATTCAGAATTTTTTCCGAAAACATTTTAAATGTAACTAACTTTTTGCATGCTAGAAAATGTCTTCGTAAGTGAAGATTTAGAAGCACCGAGACATATTTTGACTGCTTTAACTTGCATACAATCTAATAACTTAAGGCTCGAGTTCGCAGCTGATCCATATAATATGCACCCATAGTCGATGATTGATCGGATGTAAGATCTATAAAACATTAACGACGTTGTTGTGTCTGCACCCCATTTAAATTTTGTGACACATTTAAGAATATTAATGCCTCTTTCACATTTGGATAAAGTATAATCAATATGTTTTTTCCATGTAAGCTTATTGTCTAAGACAAGTATTTGAAGGAACTTACTATTGGAAGAGATATTGAATTAAACTTAATGACTTCTCCTGTTATCAGCCTGTGACGGGTATAAACCATCACAGCTGATTTATTTGCAGCCAAAGAGAAACCATGATCAAATAACCAGCTTGTAAGGCAATATATGACATATTTAAGATCTACAACACAATCGTGATAAGACTTAAATCATCCGCGTACTGAATACACTTAATCGGTTGATCAAAGATCTCATGCAAGCTTGCCGTGTAAATATTGAAAAGAAAGGGACTCAGAACGGATCCTTGAGGAATACCCTGGTTGACAATTCTAGGGCCATGCAGAAGGTTATAGTGATCTCTGATATATACTTTTCTGTTTCGAAATAACTCAATAATATTGGCAGAGGCGTTTGTATCAAAACCGCAATAGGAGAGTTTTGTTTGTAAGATGTTCAAATCAACTGCGTCATATGCCCCTTTAAGATCTAAAAAAATACATGCTGTATATTCATTTTTTGAGAATGAATACTGAATATCATTAACTAACTGAGTACAGGCGTCTAAAGTACCTTTAGACTTGCGAAATCCGTACTGGGAACTAGGTAATAGAGAGTTATGTTCAAAATATCATTCTAAACGACGGTTAGTAATTCTCTCAAAAGTTTTAGCAAAACACGATAACAGAGAAATTGGACGGTAGGACGATGGATCGCTAGGGTTTCTCATTGTTTTAATAATAAATATAATTACCACTTCTTTAAAAGATTCAGGAAGAAGTCCTTGTAACCACCATTGATTATAAATTTCAACTAAGACACTTTTTGAATTGTCTGGTAAATTTCTAATCAAAGAATAAGAAAAGCTATCTTTTCCAGGAGCTGTGTTACAAGTGGTTTTAATTGCTAATTCTAATTCAGTTAAAGTTATTTTTGAATAAAGATTATTTTTATTTCCCAATTCCCTATTATTTACCAGCTGAGGAATAAAACTTGGATCAACAAATGGAGGAGCAATATGGTCAAATAATTTTTCTATTAGATCTGGAGCCAGAACAGTTTTTTTATTATATTTATTTTTGTTTGAAATACTTTTAATATATCTCCATACTGAAGATATTGGAGTATTTTTGTTTAAACTACTAACAAATTTTTTCCAGCTGTTCTGTGCTTTTTGTTTGAATATCAGCTTAATTTTGGCCTGCAAATTTTTATAAAAAATAAAATTGTCAAAATTCGATGTGTGACTATAGTTGCATAAAGCTATCTTTCTACTCTCAACTAAATCGGAACACTCAGAGTCCCACCATGTTGGAAGGAACCTTGAAGGAGTAAAAGGATTGTTTCTGGGCATAGATAAATCTGCAGCTGCCGTGACAGCTTCAATGAAATTTGGGAATGAAGTGGATTCAGATGATGAAGAAGTAAAAATATTGTCCAAATATGATTTGAAGGAAACCCAGTTAGCCTTTTTTTCGTTCAAAATATTTGAAGGAAACACCTTCTGTTTATCGAAATTATTTGTAATAGTTATTAAGATAGGAAGATGATCAGAACCCATAGTATCAGAAATTATTTTCCATTCGCATTTAGGTGGTAATATTGGCGAAGATATAGCAAGGTCTAAAGCAGAAGGAGGAGTGTTCGGGGCAGAAATTCGTGTGGGAGAGCCATCATTTAAAACAATTAAATTTAGGTTATTAAGAGCTTCAACTAGACCTAAACCACTTCGATCATTACTAATACTACCCCATAAGGAATGGTGACAATTAAAATCTCCACAGATTAATACCGGTGAGTTGAATTGAGAGAAGAGGTTTTCCCAGTCAGTAGTTGAAATGTTATTTTTCGAATCATTGTATAGCGATATTATGGAAATTTTAGATTTTTCCAGTTGAACAGCACATGCTTCAATTTTATTGTTATAATTTTGATTAATTTGTAATTGCTACAATACATAATACAGAGTCGCGATATCTAAGAATGTCATGCGCATTGTCAAGTCAGTGTCAAACATTTTTAAATCAGATTAATAGAACCTTGATCACAATTGACTTGGTCACGGTTATCAGTCACGGTTATCAGTCACGGTACAAGTAAATTAAATGTCACAATCATGGTAAAAATTGACAGTTCATTAACTTCTCAATTAAAAAGTTTTTCTTTTCAGTCGAAGTGATTCCAACTGTTTCTGACAAATTCATTAACTTTAATGGAATCAGCTCCAACCATAATTTTTCGTAAATCTCCCACCGAACTTGAAATATCAAAAATCACAGAAATCACGGAAATTCCAGAAAACTTTACAGAAGAAACGATTTCAACACCATTAGATAATTGCACACCATCTACATCTGCACCAGTTTCACGAAAAGCCAACAGCAGACAAGGTGGTAGTAAACTAAATAAGAATTTAAGCAAAAGACCTCAAACAAGTTCAACTCGTTCATCGTTAAATGTACGTGTCATTGTAGATAATGGTAATAGACGCACTCCTACCAAATCCATTGGAGAGTATAGTACCATGTATATGGCTACGACTTCACCAAAAATGAAAAACGTTCCGCAGTCATCCCAGTTTTTGGACTGGCTGTTAGAATTCTTCTGGAAATGTAGTTCAGGTTGCCAAGATTTACCTACCCAATAAGGAAGTTGTATGTAATTTTATTGTGTAATTTGAAAAGATAATCCAAATATATGTTTGTTTACTTTATTAGATAATCACATCTGGATTAAATACTATATTAATTAATAGGACTTTCTCATATTACGGTTTGTGTTATGTTATCTATGTGGTATTAATACAGTGCGATATAAATCTATTGAGTCCCTTCTGTCGCTAATGCAGTAATGGAATAGTTTAAATGCTTGTAACAACCATTCCAATCTTCTGGTATGCTATACTTCTAAGTATAGTGCTGATGGATTCTGGAGAGATTCAGTCAGAAAGTGAATGCAGGTGTCGTCCTCTTCCTCACAAAATCTGCACTAGACCCAGTAGTGATTCTTGTACGGCTGGCTAGTGGTACCTAAAGCATTGATATCACCAATTTATGTACTATATAAAGTTTAAGAATATAAAATAAAGCCAGTTATTATTGAAAGCAAAGTACTTTAATTTCAACCTTCCACGATACCTTTTAATCAAGTAAGACATTTTATAAGATTCATTACTTAGATACCAAAGACATTACAACATAGAGACAAAATGTTTTATTCATAAATCCCATACAATTACGGACTGTTATTGTTTTAAAATTGTTAGTGAGTGGAAGAGAGAAAGACAGATCTCTTAGGACCGGCTGGCAACGTTGTAAACATTGTCCATAATATGCTCGCCAGTGGCGTAGAGTTTTAAACTTACCAGTATTGTCAGAGTAGTATGTTAAAAAAATACGTAAATAAGTAGGTATATAGGCACAGGTAAACTCGTTGTATGATACATTCTTTGTGCAAATTGTAATATTTATGCTAAAATGTACCTTTAATATCCTTCCTTGTTGTGGTACTTTTCACAAGCACTAGACACCAATCATGAACTTTACAAACAGCACATTTCCTTAACTGAGACTTGATTTAATTGTCGTGGATATTTTTAATAATTCTCTCAGCACTAAACCACAATTTATACTTTATTTATACAGTTTTAGATATTCATTGGATACCGAATGTCAAATAAGAAGGGTTATATTTATATTTCTTCTTCTTCTTTTCAATTTTTGTAGGCCTCAGCTGCCAGGACTATTCGGCCTATGGTTTTAGGTTAATTGGTGGTGGTCTCGACGATTATTTGCAATGAGGTAGGATTGGAATGTTACCCTACTTTATGGTAGGGCTCTTATGGCTTCACTTTTAAATTACACACTGTTTTTATTACCTCACAGTTGATAGTTGCACTGCAGTTTGATGTTGGATGCTGTTAGAAATCCGGAAATGATTTTAATGTTTTCCCTGTTTAAAAGTCTGAACACTAGATCGAACACTGAGATGGAACCGTATATATTTTTTGGAATCTTCAAGGATTTGTGTTGATTCAATGAAAATGAGAAAAAAATATGCTGTAAGTCCTGACTGTCCACAATCGCACAAGTCACTGGGCATCATCTTCAGTCTATTTAGGTAAGACCTTGTTAAGAAGTGGTTTGCTCTCATTCGAGATATAATGCAAATTTCTTTTCTAGATGTGTCGGTGTATTCTTTGAACCAAGGAAACTTTTTAGGCTTTTTTGTGAATTGGGCATATATAACTCCTTTGCACTTTCCAATTTTTTCGAATGAATCACACCATTCTTCGAAACTCTGTATTTTGATTGAGTTAATGACATCTTTATAGTGTCCAGGAGGAAATGTGGCTCTTGCCACACTTCTCCCCAAATTGGCTAAGGCATCTGCTCTCGTTGCCCGTTGTGAGCGACTGGTAGACAGCTGTCAGATCATAGATAAGTACTACAGAGAGTGGTAAAGCCGACCGTAGTTCTTTGACGTTTCGTTATTTAGGATTTCTATTGGGTAATACAGGGATACCAGCATGATACAGTTATTTTTAATTTCGAAATCGTAAAAGCTTATTGGAGGCGCAGGAGTATCATTCGTGAATCGTATTTGTTCGAGAGTGACAACTGGCTGAAAGAGGTTTTATGTACGATGAATCTGCGCGATCGAGATTTCGTTCTCGTGTTGGAGAAAAACGAAGCGACACGTGTTCTTCTGAGAACAGGCCGTAATGGTGGTTTGAACTGAAAATTCGTTAAGAGACGCTTTTCTAGTTTTTGTGATTTTATGGAATCATCCCATGCCGGGTAGTGTTAGAAAAGTATCTCATTATTATAAGAAGCACTAATGGTAAAATTGAATTTGGTTAACGTGGATTTAGGCCCGTTATTTTGGTGATTCAGTGCCGGCTTTTTAACTCGCGTTTGAGGAGAATTGGATTTGAAGTTCAGCCCATTGGTAGATGTATTAGCAGTCTCATATTGAAGGCCAATCGTAGTTCAGACCGTATATTAAAGAGTACACTAGTTTTAAAAAGGTTTTAGCAGATTTCTCTGCGTCTTGATTGAAGTTACACCCTCTAGGATAAGAGGTGGGATTTATTCTTTTTTTATAGTGTAATTTGTACTGTAAATATTGCTATTCATTTATTGTTAATAATAGAAATTATTTCAGATAGTAAATGAGGGGGTTGAATATGGGGTACAGTTATTGCTGTATTGAATATTGCTAATTAAATTTTAACTGGGTACTTTTGTTGATTTGCTTGAAATACCGTGCCACAGGCGGCATCTTTTGCCTGTCGACTTCAGGGACTAGGAGATAAGTGAAACAAGATTTTAGTTTTATTACTTTGGGGTACATTTAGCCTACGTCTGATACTTAGATGTATATGTATATTTTCTGATTTTATAAGACGTTAAATTGATATTGTTATAATAGCTCATGTGCTATTAAGGGAACATGACGTTTATTAAATTTGAGTATAGTTCATATAATACATTAAGGGGATTGGGTATTTTACCTTTACGATGATGTTTATTAAAAATTGTTTATTAATGATATTTTAGATTATAAGTCTCTGGGTTAACTTTTCTTTTGGTTGCGCCTGATACGTTTTTCGCCTTGGATCCAACGCTAATGACCGTGAGGTATCAACTGTTACTTTTACTGGGGCAGAACTGGGCACTACTTATATTTGTAAATACTTTTTAGTATTTAAATACTTAAAAGTATTTAAATACTAGGTATTTAAAATTTTTTGGATGAGCGGTATTTGTATTTGCAGCTAAAAATACTTTCGTAAGTATTTAGTATTTAAATACTTTTTCAAAATATTCTAAATACTTTTTAAGAACGTAAATAATTTTCTGGTATTTAAATACTTTTCTGGTATTTAAATACATTTTAAGTATTTAAATACTTTTCCGGTATTAAATACATTTCAAGTATTTAAATACTTTTCCGATATTTAAATACCTTTTTACGTCAAAAATAAAAACATTTGTTTTAACAAGTTTTAACTTGTTATTAAACCGAACGTGCGAAATAGTCTGGATGAAGTGCTGATGTTTCACTTCGTATTTAAGCGTTAGAAAAGATTCTTCATTGTGTTAGTTGTCAAGTTGTGATTTGTGTTACAAGAAAAAAGAAATAAACCCAGATAAGTATTTATTATTATGATAATTACATAATTGTTTTATTACATACTTTTAAGCATTTAAATACTGCAAGTATTTAAATATTTTTATGTGTGTAAGTATTTATCCCAAACATGTATTTAAATACTGTAGGTATTTATTATTTAAATATCTTTTGCTTTAAAAAAGTATTTAATATTTAAATAATCGTATTTATGAAAAAGTATTAAATATTTAGTATTTAAATACTTTTAGAAAGTATTTTGCCCAGCCCTGTACTGGGGTACATTGTACCAACCCTGTTTAGTTTCTGTAACTGCTAAGGCATTACATATATTTTTTAAGTATTTTGAGGTTATTACAGTCCTATATATAAAAAATATGTAAGTAGAACAGTGCATTCATGTATGAATTACATTATTGAAGGGTCATTATTAAAACAGGGATTGTGAGGGTTGTTAACTCGGGGTAAGGGGAAAGACAAAATGTTTTCCGATTTGTAAATAAACACGATCAAAGATCAATTTTAGATTATAAAATGACATTCTACAACGTTAAATTGTCACCCTTCAAATTAAACAGAGATAAATTAGGTAATTTTTACTTACCCTCGTATAGGGGAAAATTACGAACCTACATTTTTTCACAGCATGCCGAGACCAAGTATAATCTAATTAAGAGTAATCAATATTCATAAGTCCATCTAATCAAATATCTCTGAAAATGAATCATGTCACTTTTCAAAAATAATTGTCGCGTGTCTTCATTTATAAATAGAAAATAGTTCTAACAGTTAATCATTATGATTGATTACCATGTTTTGCAGTACATGATCAGGTATAAATAATAAAAATTCCAATTTTGTCAAGCCGTAGTCAAATTCAAACTCACAGAATAGTACTTTTTGATAGAAAAAAAAAGACTAAGAGATGTTTGTTAGATTTCGCAAAAATCACTTTTCGGCCCTTGTATATGTACTATTTTTTATTCAAATGAAATTTACAAAAAATAAATAAAACTGTAATAACTTTAAACTAATTTTTTGACTTATTTGTGATAGCGATCTTTGACACCGTGTGTAAATTTTAGATCGTGAATCGTGAGATTTTAAATATATTGATAATTATTGTACTGTTTTTAAAAAATGACCACATAAAAAATACAACTTTATGCTATAACACGAATTTAAAGAATTTAAAAAAAAATTGACTACGCCACTGGATTCTTATCAAAAAAGTGCCTCAAGAAGGTATACAGGGTGATTCATAACTATTGGGACATAGATTAAGGGCAGGTTATTTAGATCAAAATATGGCGATAGGACCAAATATACCTTAATAAAATATGGCTGTGGAATAAGATACAGGGCATTAAAGTTGAATTTTTTTTTCGTGTTTTTTTTATAATCTCACTGTATATTTATGAATTGTTATCAAAATCGGCTCAAAGGCATATCTTTGGATAAGGGATATTATTTTATGTATTATTTCACATTTTTTTACAGGCGGCGCCACGAGAATAATTCCTGATGATGAAATTAAGTGGTAAGTTTTTTTGCCGAAACTTTTTAGTGCTTTTTATTAGAACATATTACGTAAACATTATTTCTACGTAATATTGGTACTCCTGTTTAAACACGATAATTTCACCTGTTTTCGAGAAAAACGCAATTGAACAGTCTCAGAAGGATATTTCAAAAAATATTTTATTTATGAAAAGTGTGCTTTGGACTGTCAGATAATTGTGTCTGGTAAATGTCAGTTCTTGCCAATGAATTATTTTTGCTGTGAGATTATAGTCTATTGTTGCATTTTTTAAAGCTTTTCGACTGAAATGCCTCGTCACAATCATTTTACGAATGAAGAAATGCGGGATATGATTTGTGTATATGCACAAGAAAATTTTTGCAGTCGCATGGCAGCCAGAAGGTATGAATTGTTATATCCA